TCATTGCAGTACACTCACAAAGCTGAGAGAAAACATTTATCAAACATTGATCTGCATCAGAGTCAATACAGTTCTTCCAACCAGCTTGCAGATACAATTTCTTCTTTCTTTCCCATGATAGACAATGAATAGTATTTTGTGCTAAAAATGCTTCTATCATACTTTATATTTACACTGTGCTTTACTTTCAAATGACTATATATGTATGTGTGTGTGTGTGTGTGTGTGTGTGTGTGTATGTCCCCTTTCGATCCTCCCAATGTGAAATAAGCAAAGAAGGTATTTAACTATATTTTACAGATGAGGGGGAAAAAAGATGGAAATTTTTTAAAGTCTGAAGAATATTTTAGAAGGCTTAGGTTTTCCAATACCACTTCTCCTGATAGTAAGGGGTTCTTTAGATTAGACAACTATGCTACAGTATAACCACTAGATCTGGAATCAAGATTAAGAGCTAGATTTAAATCTTGCCTCTAACATTTGCTAGGAATGAGACCATTAAGCAAATCATTTAATTTCTTTGAGTCTCAATTTTCTTATCTATAAAACAATGGATTTGAACAATGGGATATTCTAGCTCTAAATCGATGATTCTATAGGCCATATAACCCTAACCCTAAATATGCACTACATAAATATTTATCATCATCATCATCATCATAATCATCATCATCATTTAAAATCAAAAGACTGATTTTGATTCCTCCTTTCTACCTGGATAACTTTATCTCCTTGGGTGGGCTTAATTTCCACATCTATAAAATGAAGGGGTTGGATTTAGACTAATGCTAAGAAAATTACTAAAATGAACGTGCCCTTTGACTTAGAGATTACAGCAATCGCCACATACTTGCAAAGAGTTCAGGGAAAGAAAGGTTCTAGATTGACCAAAATATTTACAGCAATACATTTTGTAATGGTAAACTGGAAACAAAGTAGATTCTGTCCAAAGATTGGAGGAATGGCCAAACAAATTTTGGCATATGAACACAGAACTTATTTTACTATAAGAAAGGGAAAATATGAACTATTCACACATGGGAAGAGTTACATGAACTGATGCAGAATGAAGCAAGCAGAACTAGGGAAACAACATATATAAATTATAAAAATAATGTATAAATAGAAAGAATAACTAAAATACTCCCTTGAATACCATGCAATGGTAATGATCAGTGCAGTTCCAAATGGTTCTCCCTTCTTTGCAAAGGTAGGGAGGCCTACAGGTATGGAGCACTGAATATACTGTCAGACTCAGCTGATTAGTAGGTTCGTTTTGCTTAGCATTTCCGTGTGGGAATTCCTTCTCAGCATTTCTTCAGAAATTTATATTTTTTCTTGATCCCGAGAGAAATTATTTAAGAAATTGGGGGAAAGTATGAGAATTCTCTTGTGGGAATTAAAGGTTAACCATCAACGTGGAGATATTATTGGCTCAAAGGAATCCAAAAGCAAGAGTGGGAAAGAAAGATACTTTAATGTCAGAGGATAAAGTCAACATTTTTTGAGAACCGTGACAGAAGGAGAGAAGTTGTCATGATCTAATCTTCTAAGTCACCATCTTATAAGTGTGTGCTTATAGCTCTGTCTGTTGCTAATGATGAGTCATTATTGCAAATAAATAAGTTTATATGTATGGTATACTTTATAGAAATCCTATCAGTTTTATTATAAGAAATAGCAAGTTTTTGGAAGCAGAGTCCTTAAGTTGGCATTTTCTTTTTTTTTTCCAAAGTGCAGTTATTCCATCTCTGTGATTTCAAATGTGCTGGACACATAAGGCAAATAAGGCAAAGCGTTCTATTCCTTTTTTCCCAATTAACCTTATGCAAGTATCATGGTATTCAAGAGGCCTTGTAAATAACCCTCTTCTGCCAACACATCCCAGATAGTCTATAGCTCAGCTGTGGGAGGTGCTTTTTCCATCAGATCACTTTTTTAATAGTCACTATTACTATTATGAGACAGCCTGAAAATCAGGAAAATCAGATTTCTGCATATTTTTGTACCTTCAAAGCTAAATTGACAAGATTTAGAGAAAATGAGGAGTCACCTTAATTCGAGTGCTAACTACCAAACTTTGGGAGCTCAAAATGGTTTCTTAGAAGCCTTCAAGAACTTCCTGCTTTTTTTATTCCATCTGAATCCTCTTCTTAAAAGCAGACAGTGGTCTCTTAAAGGCGGATCTCTTTTTGGCTAACTCCACACCTTTAACCATTATTCAGCGTTTATCCAAACGAAATGGTTGCCATTTAAAATGCTGGAGTCACTCCCACAGCGTCAGAGGTGTGCTTCCAGGAAAAAACAAAACAAAACAACTTTATCTAATATTTAGCAATGTGAGTTCAGCATTCAGGACAACCTAGCCATCCTGATTCAGGAGTACAGGTATATTTGTACGCAAACTACATTATAAGTGCAGCAGACCAAGTAACATTCTGATCATCTGAAGAATTGTTTTCTTATGCCATGTTTGGTACTGCAAGATGCCACACCAGCTAGGTGTCATCCATCAACTGAAACCAAATAATAAAGGTCTATATGACCCTTTTGTAAAGAAATTTAAGGGAATCCTCCTCTAAAAAGCTTGTAAAATCAGTGGTCATCTTCAGAGAACAGTCTTTTTGATGTCTTAATGTTTGTAGTTGAAAAGGTCATCTTGGAGGCTGCTGTCAAGGTCAAGAAGAGCTTTCAGACTTTGCTATGGTCCATGAACTCCAGCCCTTCTACAGGAATTTCTTTCTCCTTGATTGCTTTCTGCATGCACTGCTGGTAGTGCTTGAAGAGGTCAGTGCCCTTGAGGAACAAGCATTGATCATACTTGGCTTCATGTCTGTGCAGGCCTCTCCCACGCTGTTCATGGTGACCAGCCCTGCAGTGGCTTAAATTGGCATTTTTTTTTTAGGCAATTGGGGTTAAGTGACTTGCCCAGGGTCACACAGCTAGTAAGTGTCAAGTGTTTGGTCTGAAGCTGGATTTGAACTCAGGTCCTCCTGACTTCAGGGCCGTTGCTCTATCCATTGCGCCACTTAGCTGCCCCTTAAATTGGCATTTTCAACATGTGCTTCTGTAAAGTGTGGTTAATCTTGTTGGGAGACTTGAATATTAGTGTTATTCAAAAACTACTCAGTAATGTTTGCTGGCATTTTCCAGTGTTTGAACACTTGCTGTAGAATAGTTTTCTGTTAAAAACTATTATACACTTATCCTTTCCACATTGTGACTTTCGTGATCTTGATAAATCATGGGTCAGCATAAGAAATTAAATGGGAATTTTTGGGGAGTCTGCAGAAGCCGCAGATGACATGTGAGGGCCAGCAGATGACACAGAGCCTTAACCCAAATTTTACAATAAGGTACTGTAAACATCCCATGAAAGAAAAAGAAAAAAAAATCAGACTTCTTCTCTGGTTGGTACAAAGAGAGGGTCAAAAAATTTTATGCATATTTTCCAGATGGAGGGCCACGTCCCTTAACCCCTGTGATGTGTACTGGATCACTACATAATATTTCTTATTTACTAAGCAATTTTTTTTCAATATCCATACTGATGAGTAAAGCATGAAGAATACTGAAAGTATATTGAGAAAAATAAAGGAAATCAGCCAACTCATTGCTAGATATGATTTAAATCACTGTAACAATATATTAGTTTGTAATGATAATAAGCCATAAATTTATTATTACAATCTTCAACATTCCTTTGAGTTTAACTTCAAGCATTTGCTTGATTGTATTAATAACTTTTTTTTCACTTTCATGTTGGCCGCTGAGCACATTCAGTTATATACAGTAGAGAAAAAAAAGGAAACACACAATGATGTACAAGTTTATATCTGCAAAAAGGAGGGAAGTATTTGTAAAAGTGATTGTGAATCTGCTCCAGAAAGTGCTAAACTCACCTTTCAAGCTCATGATGAGGGAATTGAAAAAATGGAAAAGCAGCTAAGTTTGCCTTCCAGTGACCAATTGAGCATCTCACCTCCCCTCACTGCCCATGCCATTGGGCTTTCAAGCATCCTGGCCTACCAGCATGGCAGGATGCTGCAGTGGTCCCCTGTCTGGCCTCCAGACAGCAGAGCCCCTGATGGGAGTTCTGAGCACTGACTAGGCCTTGGGAACCCACCCTGAGGTGCGTGCTTTTTAGTGGGAACAGTTCAGTGAGCCAGAACCAAAAAAAGAGATTAGAGATGTCAGCTGTTGCCTCTTTCCCTTTTTTAACCTCAGGGTTCTTCTGACATCCCATCCCTTCCCTCTCTGTGTTCTGTCTCTTCTCCCCTGCATTTATAAGTTATATCATGATTACTGTTAGGAAAAGTGCATATTGTCAGAACTAGTGCTTTGTTATAAAGAATTATATGCAGAAAATTGTATTTTCAGCAATCTCTAGTAAAATATTACAGATTTTGGTGGTCACAGAAATCTACCAACATATTTCCTATAGATTAAATTTATCAATATTCACATTTTTTTTACTTTCATGACATTTTCTAGGAATTTTATTCCAGTGAAAGTTGAGGATTCACTATATATTATTTCTTTTTAAAGAAAACTTCTAAAACTTGTAGTATAGCCTTGTTCACAGAAAAATGATTCACTGTCTATTATTATGCTCACTTGTTATGTAAAAACACATAAAATGTTATAAAAAATGAAAACTAATTTAGGATTTCAGGAATTTGGTAATTTCAGAGAATTAGTGAGAATTCCAGTTTCTCATTCCTGAATCCTAAAGATTATTATCTGTTGGGAATTCAGAAACACTAGCTTTGTTAAGCTATTCCCTTCTCCACTTTTTAAAAAAAATTATCATAAGGGATGTCTCAATGGAAAGAGGAGAGGGGAAGGATATATTCCCAAATGAAGGTGAGATAAAAACAAACTATACTGATATAATTTTTTTTAAAAAAAGCTTTAATGAGGATGTTAGGCTTGAATGACCCTCCAAGTTCTAAAGCCCATGACAATTTCTAAGTATTCAGAAGTTCACAGACAAGAAATTGAGAAAACCATTTTAATATGTAAATTAGATGCCAATTCCTGATAAAGTATATGCAAACTTACACATTGCTTCAAGTTAAAGTTACAGGCAGGGATATAGCCCCTTGACACACCGAACTCCTAGAATTGGAGTCTATCCAAATCACCAGACAGTTTGCAGAATCTAGAAAGAAAATTTTTAAAAACACTGGTCAGTATTTGGAGAAATAATCACTATCATTTTCCACATTCTGCTCTACACCTAAGATTCAGTCCCTTAAAACATCTAACAAACAAAACTTTAAGTATATCTGTTGGCAGATAGGGATTATTTTCTTTACAAATTCTTCAAAAATTTTCCATTTATTTAAAACATTATTAGCTAATCTTTGAAAAAGCTGTAGGAGAAACATAAAATAACCAAAACCTGCCATCTTGAAGCCAGTGTTTTTACAATTAAAACTTCTCTTTACTTTTCTTGCTCTTTAACTTTTGAGGTTTGTTGACTAAATCTTAAGTTTTAATATTCCCACGCCTGTTGGTAATTCCTCCTTTTGGCTAAAGAGAGACTGCAAGATAAAATTATATCTTGAACACAAGTACACAGTACCTCTATGATAGCCTCTTCTCACAATCTGTATTTCAAGTTCTTCCAACTGGACTTATGACACTAAAACAGTTAATAATTTTAAGCAGATTTTTTTTTAAGTCAGGAGATGGAGATAACATTTCGTTATGATGGGAGGGACAAAAATAAATGTCATTAAGAGGTAATTAATATAGGTGGCTGACTAGGATACTAGATTCATTTTTGTATCCCCAGTATGAGGATATAGTAGGGCACAATTTTTTTCATCTGATTTCATTGATAAGGAAACTTCTACCAATAAAGGAAAACTCACCCTACCAAATCAGATCACCACTCTGCTCTGCAATTTACAAACTTAGAGAATGACCTGGGGCACAGAAAGGTTAAGTGCTCTTCTCAAGGAGCTCACAATCTAATGAAACAAAATGCTAAACACAAGATACACACTCCTTAAGTTGAGGGTGATCTCAGAGAGAAGGCACAAGCAGTGGGGCTAGAGGTTGAGGGGATGAGACCAGGAGAGACCTCCCCTAGAGAAGGTTAAATTTGAAGTTAGTCTTGAAAGAAGCCAGAGAATCAAGGAGTCAGTGCTGAGGAGGGAGAGCATTCCAGGCTGGAGGGAAAGCCAATGCAAATGCAGAGTCAGGAAATGAAAGCCACCTCTTCACAAGAGAGAGGAGTGAAGGGTGAGATTATGACGGACAACATCTGAGTGAGATAAGGAGACAGAGAGAAGAGAGAGCTCTCAGAACATCACTTCAATTTTTTTTTCAGGAAATTATGGGACAAAGTACTCAATTGAGAGGGAGGGAATGCTAAACAAAGAATGAAAAGGTTTAGAATAGCCACTGTGGTAAGTGGGATAGTAAATTGATTGCAGAGACATAAAAGGATGGCCTTGCTGCAGTAAGAGCCCAGTTGGGATTATATAGCATTAAATAGAGTGATGTGCATGAGGAATGGCAGGGAGGTTAGAGTGAATGAATCATATATAGTCTGTAGAGAAAAGTAAAGTATAAAAAGACTGGAAAAAAGTGACAGACCGCGAAGGGCTTTAAATGCCAAACAAAATATTTTATATTTTATCTTGGAAATAACAAGGAGACATTGGAATTTATCGAGTAGGGGGGAGGTGACATGGACAGACTTGCACTTTAAGAATATCACTGGGGGGCAGCTAGGTGGCACAGTGGATAGAGCACCAACCCTGAAGTCAGGAGGACCTGAGTTCAAATCCAGTCTCAGACCAAACACTTGACACTTACTAGCTGTGTGAACCTGGGCAAGTCACTTAACCCAATTGCCTAAAACAAAAAAAAAATCACTGGTAGCTGAGTGAAGAGTAGATTGGAATGGGGAAGGAACTCATTAGCCTAAGAGAGAGGTGATGAAGACCTAGATTAGGGAGTGAATGGAAAATTAGAGATGTTAAGAAGGTAAAAACAAGATTTGACAATAGATTGGATATGAGGTAAGTGCAAGTGAGGGATTGAGGATGACATTAGGGTTGTGAGTCTAGGTGACTAGAAGGATAGTCATCCCTCAACAGTAATAGGAAGGAGGGTTTGGGTTTTTTTTGTTTGTTTGTTTTGTTTTGTTTTTGCAGGGGAAGGTGAATTCTATTTTGGACATGCTGAGTTTGAGATGCCTCTGGAACATCCAGGTTGAGATATCCAAAATGTAGCTAGTGATGCAGAATATGAGCTAGAGAGAGCAACTAGATCTGGATGTATAGATTTGGATATATCTACATAGATATAACTGAATCCTTGGGAGCTGATGAGATCGCCAAACAATATTGTATAGAAGGAGAAGAGGGCTCAGAACAGAACTTTGGAGGACACACATAGTGAACAATACCTGGATGAAAATCCAGTAAAGAAGACTGAGAGGGAGCAGTTAGGTAAGAGGAGAACCCAGAAAAAACAGTGTAACAAAAACCTAGAGGAAAGTGATTGACTATACCAAAGGCTACAAAGAGATCAAGAAGATGAAGATTGAAAAAAGGCCACTGGATATGATAATTAAGAGATCACTACTAGCTGCAGACAAAATAGTTTCAGTTGAACGATGGAGTTGGAAGCCCAATTGCAGAGGATTTACAAAAGAGTGAGAAGCTATGAAATTGAGGCACTTAGGGTAGACAGTTTTCTCAAGGAATTTATCTGAGAAGAGGAAGAGATTTAAAAGACAGCTAATGGGGAAAGTAGTATCAAATAGTAGGATCAAGGATCCACAAATAGAACTAAATTAAGGTTGGGAGAGACATGGGCTTGTTTGTAGATAACAGGGAAGGAGCCAGTAGACAGGGAGCAATTGAAGATTGGAGACAGAGTGGGATGATAGTGGGGGGCAATCCGCTGGAGCAGATGAGATAATGGTGGGATCAAGGACATATGAAAAGGATTTGCCCTGGCATGAAACGCCACCTCTTCACAAGAGAGAGGAGTGAAGGGAGAGATTATGAGGGACAATATCTGAGTGAGATAAGGAGACAGGGAGAAGAGAGAGCTCTCAGAACATCACTTCAATTTGTTTTTTCAGGAAATTATGGGACAAGGATCTCAATTGAGAGGGAGGGAATGCTAAACAAAGGATGAAAAAGTTTGGAATAGCCACTGTCATAAGTGGGATAGCAAGTTGATTACAGAGACATAAAAGATTGCCTTGCTGCAGTAAGAGCCCAGTTGGCATTATTTGGCATTAAGTTGTAGAGGACCCAGTCAGCACAGTTCCATGATTTCCTCCAGCTCTGTTCAGCAGCACATAAACAGGAGCGAAGAAGGAAGATGGCAGGGGTCATGCAGGGTCAGGGTGTAGCAGGACTTGATTGATGACATGGAAAGGAGGCAAAGGATTTGAGTGAAATAATATTGTAGATTTTAACTGATTCACCAAGAGATCAAGATAGCAAAAAGAAGAAAGTGTAGACAGTGCAAGAGTGATAGCCTAGGAAAAAACTGAAGAATGAAGGGACTGGACATGATGGTGGGATGAAGAATAGAGTTACGGATCATAAGGCATAGGGAAATACGGAATGAAAAAAGATTTGATCAGATAAAGGAATTTCAGAGTTCATGAATATGAAGCTAAAATACTTGTGAGTGATGGTAAAAATCAGGGGTATGATCATGTCTGTGTAGCTGAGGTGGTATGCAGGAGTAGATCATGGAAACTGAGTAGATTGAGGAACTGGGAAGTTATGGTAGTTGAGGGAGCATCAATATGTATGTTGAAGTTCCCTATTAACAGGGCAGGAGTTGTGGTGAAGACAAAGACTGTGAGACTTTGAACTCAATGAGGAAGGAAGGAGAATTTCAATTCTCTATCTACTATGCTACAGCTCCCTCTATAATTTTAACATAGTAGGCACTTAACAAATGTTTACTAAATACTGTTGCAACAGAATTCCAGCTTGGAAGAACTTCAACAGAACATTATTCTCTAGCTTGGAAGAAAAGAACTCAAAATGTATTTCCAGAGCTCACTCCACAAAAATTGCTGTTTGAGTCATTTTCTTTTTAATCTGAATAAATCTAAAATGGCTTGTATAGGGGAAGCTTGTTTCTAGAGATACCTATAAAATGTTATAATACACATATTTTTTTCTTAGTATTTCGAGGATGCAGAGTAGACTAAAAACCCACTTTAAATATGAAGAAACAAGAGCAGCTCCCCTAAGAGCATAAAGACCTTGCCAAAGATCAAGTGGCAATTTGGTAGAAAGGTTTTTAGCAACTAACTTTCAAGTCTATTCCAAATACATTTACTGGCCATATGCATTACACAGCAGACAAGTCCAAAGTACCTTTGTGAGACACGTCATTCATCTTTCTTCTCCATCATTTTTTTCTGTGTGCCCTCCAATTTTTGTTGCCTTTGTGCTTCCAGTCTTTTCCTCTGCCACATTTTGGCTCCAGCAAATGCCAAGCAAAGAATTATAGATTTTGCGATCAAAATATAGATCAGAAGAGGAAAGTTTTCCCAAGCCTTAAAGAAGATAGAAGTCATTTTTGAGCTGTTTTGATAGTTGTCAACTTGGCATTTCTTTTGATCACTATGACTGGTTCCTTGCACATCCCTCAGTTCATCCCTGCTGTCTGCCTCATATATGACCACCTAATACTCACATATGCACAATTATTAATATAGCCAACCTGTGTTTACTCAAGCATTGACCATTCGGTTTATGCTATACATTCTTTGGAAGCACCACAGTATATGTGATGCTACCTAGAGGAAAAAAAAAAGTTTGTCACACACTAGAATCATGGCTCTGCCACTGACTACCTTTGTGATTTTTGGACACGTTATTTTCATTCCTCTGGCCTTACATGTGAAATCAAGTACTGGACTATGTAGAACAGTGGAAATCATGCTGGATTCTGGCTCAGAGGATCTGGGGTTCAAAACCCAGCATTGCTACTAGGGGTCGGGATAGGGGGGAGAAGGCAAGTCATCAGTCTGAAATTCAGTTCCTAGTCTGTAAAAAGAGAATGTTGGATTAGACGGTCTTTAAATGTACTAAGAATACAACTCGTAAATTTACTAATTACCCTATGACTCAGTTGCTTATTAATATTTCCACTTGAGGATAAACAGAATAATAATAGTTAGCATTTACATAAAGCTTTAAGGTTTCCTAAGTACTTTACATACTTGTTTGGTCTTCACAGAAACCCAGTGAGGTAGGTGCTATGATTATCTCCATTTTACAGATGAAGAAATTGAGGCAAAGCAAGTAAGTGACTTGGCCAAGGTCACACAGCTAGCAAATATCTAACACAGGATTTGAAATTAGGTCTTCTTACCTCCAAGTCCTGCACTCTATCCACTGCATCATTTAGGTGTCAATTAAGCTATTTGTTAAATGATGAGAGAAAAATCATCTAATTGAAGAGATTTATACAACTGACTAAAATGAGGTCTGGAGATTTACTTATGGATTTCAATTATCCAAACTTTCCAATCCTAGGGCACCCTTGATCATTGTGTGTTATAAGAGAGATAATAAAGAGTTGGTTTTACAGTAAAATCCTACACTTATGTAATAATAGTTCAAGGGAAATTTCACTTATAAAATGAGAGCGGTAAAAAAATATGTCCCTGACACTAGATAGTTGTAAGAAAGTCACAGAAAATGTCATAGCTGGAAGGATCTAGTTCAATTTGAATAAAAATTCTGTCTACAACAACCCCAATTAAGTAATCATACAGTCTTCCTCTGAAGATATCTATTTAGAAAAAGAACTCACTACCTCCTAAAGCAGGATTTAAAAAAAAATAACTCTAATTGCTAAGATGTTTTCTTTATATCAAGCCAAAATCTGTTTCTCAGTAATTCTAGTTCAACACATTGAAGCCAAGCAGAACAAATCTAAATCATCCTCATCAATTCGACAACTTCAAACAATCAATGGAGCTCTCATCTTCTCCCTGGAAATCAGCATCAATTGCCCTCTAATCTTCCATTTCTGTTGGTAACAGCACCATCTCCCCAATGACCCAGACTCATAACCTGAGAATCATCTTTGACTCTTTCTCTCTTTCATTCCCAATAGCCAACCAGTTGCAAAGTCCTACAGATCCTGTCTCTGTAATATCTCTCAAATCCAGCTCCTCCTCTCACTGTTGGAGTTCAAGCTCTCCTTACTTATCATCCAGGTTACAGCCTTCAAACTGGTCTTCCTTTTCATACTCCATACCCTCTCTGCTCAATCCTTCACTATGGCTTACATGATTTTCTTAATGCAGTATTCAAATTACTTCATCTTCTACTCAAAAAATGTGTGGCTCCCATGGCCTATTAAACAAAGTATAAACTTAGATTGATTCAAGGCAGTCTTCAGTCTGACTCCAATCTACCTTTCCAAGCACCTTTTGGTTTTAGCCAAACTGAAATGCTCCCTGTCCTCCATCTTAGCCTGTTTTCCTTCTTCTCTATATCTTTGCTCATACCATTCCTCATGTTCCACCTCCTACTGCTGCCTCCCATCCTCAAATGCCCAACTTCCTTCCCTAGTCCTCATAATCTCCCAGAAGAATGTAATTTCTTCCTTCTGAAATTTCACATTGCACCTGTCAAAATATTAGGAGACACCCTGTTTTCCAGCGCTAAGGCACAGCAAGCAAGCTGTGCCCTGAGCATGGCATAATAACAATTCTTTGCACTAACCCTCTGGATGATCTCAGACACAGCAAAGCCACAGAACTGGGATTTATTATTTTAACTATTTAGCCCTATTTCCCAGTGGATCCTGACCTGAGAGCTAGAACTGCAGCTGACATACTGCAGCAGAAAGTGATCGATCATATCTCCCTACACTTTGAACAATTCCCATGCTCGTAAGCACAAAATGAACCAAACCAGGAGCTGTGCTCCTGTTTCTACCATGCTAACTCTGGTTCTGTAGCCCACTGAATAATAACAAGGCTCAATGACCCTTAAGGCCTGAGACAATCACGAGGCTCAACGACTCCCACAGGACCTAAGAACACCTGTATTATCCCCCAAAATTGCATGGGTGGGTTTGCTGTGGGAACTATTTACTCAAGACCTAAAAATGACTGTGTGAGTTCTGCCTTTTTGTGGTTTTCATGCTTAAAAATCCTACCCTTTCCATAAGCCATAAGCCCTCCTCAGGAGGACATCCACTTACAAGCATTTTTCTTACTTTGAAATTAAACTTCTGTTTAATTCCTGACTCTCCTCTCTCTAGCCTGCTTTGTTCAGCTCCAGCCATCCACAGGTTAGAGACTGGTTTAGTCTGGTTGATGCACCTTAGACCTTTCATAGAAGCAGAGAATCTCAGAGCTGGAAGGGACCTAAGATGCCATCTAGTCAAAATCATGCCCAAACCAGTCAACACTGAGCATATTGAACTAACAATTGATCGTCTAGCTTTTGCTTGAAAACCTCTAGTGAAAAGAAACCCACTACCTATTGATTTCTAATTCCCTCCCTGGACCTCTTTTCTCATCTCTAAAATGAGGTGGTTAGACTAAATAATCTCTAAAGTTCTTTCCATTTCCAACATTTTATGATTCTATATTAAGATTTAAACAATGCTTTTGAACATTTTATGTAGGTTTTCATTCAAATATATTTACATCCTAATTAGAAACATCAGCATTCCTATCCTCATCCCAATCATTTTTCTCTTCAACAAAGTTAACCCCCCTACCCCCATAAAAGTCTCAGGGTAAATGGCCCCTTTTGATAAGACAGTTTCCTATCTTTTGACTGTGAACCATTCCCATTCTATAAAAACACACCTTATGATAAACATTTCAAGTACATGTCAATTGCCATTACAATAAATATCATTTCTGTGTAACAATATAACGTATAACTTTCAAATACCACTTACTTAAAGCAATATTCAATACCATGGAATTCCAGTATAGGAAAATAACCTGGATATCCTTTTGGTACATATTTTAAGAAACTCTGGATATGGACTTTATAGTCCATATATTATTTTCAAAGATTTTATAGAAAAGGAAAGGAGACTATGGAAAATCAGTTATCGATATTGGCTTGAATGTCTTCTTTCCATAATAATAATGAAGTCCTAGAATTTTCCCAATTATTTGTTATCCTCCACTTTTTCAGATGCGTTAAGAATTGATCTGTCAGTGCTTTCAAAATTGTGTCACTTCAAGTCTAGCGTTCTCTATAGCCTTGGTTTTATCCAGCTCTTTCCATCTTTTGTTTTCTTTACTGACAGTCCTTTCTCATGCTGCACACTGAGGAGTAAGATTCTAAATACAATGAATCCACTGTTACTGATAGAGAAAATAGTTGTTACAGAAATTTGACACATCTTTTCCATTGTTCACAGGAGACTGTTGCACTTAAGGTCCATCCTTAAACGCTGAGATGATCTGTTTTAAATGAGTGTCTCACTAAGCTTTTCGATGAACTTGATTTTCCTTCTTGTTGTCTCATGAGGTAATAATGCTCAAAATATTTCATTCTCCTCCTTCCTAATATTTTACAAATGAGTTTATCTTCTAAACTGTTGTAACCTCTAGTTTTCCTTTGTAATTGGCAATAAGGTCAACTATTTGGTAGCTAAGACAGTTTCTTACCTCTTCTATCTCCTTGCGGGAACTGATTGTCTTTACTGGATACCAAGGAAGCCTCATGACTATACATCATGAATGCTTTGCTCAAGAAGAAAGTTGAGAAAAGAAGCAAAAAGTAGTGGACAGAGAGCTGGCCTAAAAATTGGAAATGCCTGGGCTCAGGTCTTGTCTCATGTTGTCTGTGTGACCCTGGCCAAACTACTTAACCTAGCAATAACCCCAGACAACTCTCTAAGACTATAAGTTGCAGAATAGATGCCAGTCTACATTGGTAGAGGGAAGTTTCTTCATTGGAAGGTCCATTTACCAGTAGAATCACAAGATAACTCAGAGTCAAGAGGTCTTAGACATGGCAAATACTAAATGACATTACTAAAAGCAAAACTGATTACATTTTAACTGACAGGACTGTCTGTGGGAGTCCTTTCTGAATTTGTTGTCTGTTTAGAAAAAGTAAGATATAATAAAAATGATAGGTTCATTAATTAGGAGACTCCGATTTGACCTATTTAAAGAAGTTACTGATTCTAAAAAACAAGAAAGATATAATTACAGACATTGACATAGAATATTACTATTTCCTAAGGAATTATATCTTCTAAACCCTAAATGCTGGTTAGATACCAACATCATAAACATAAGGGAAAACACTTGAAAGAAATGGGGATGTTCATCCCGTAGAAGAGCAGAGATAGTAGGATATGACAATTACCTTCAAGTACATGAAGAGCTGTTATGTGAAGGGGGATCTGACTTATTCTGCTTGGCCCTAGAGACAGAACTAGGAGCAATGGGGAGAAGATAAAGTAGTAGATTTAGGCTTGACATAAGATAAAGCTTCCTAACAAATTAGAGCTCAATCATTAAGTGCTTCAAATAGCTGCCTTAGGAAACACAAGATCATAGTTTTAAAATCAGAAAGAACTTTAGAGGCCATTGATTACAATGCCCTCAGTTAAAGGTAAGGAAACTGAGGCTCAGAGAAGGTATTTCTCCAGGGTTACACAGCTATTAATCGAATAAATCTGGATCAGAATTTGGGTCTTCTTGACTATACATATGCACATTACTCTTAACAACTACAATATGATGCCTCATTAGCTGCGGGAGCCATTGGGTTCCCCATCACTGGAGGCCATTAAGCAAATGCTGGATGTTTATTTGTCAGGATATCAAAGGGAATTCTTTTTTAGGTATGGATCGAAATAAGCTCCATTAAATGTTTTTTCTACCACATATGAACTATACAACCTAACACTATGAGCTTTATTTCAAGGAGACAGTGAAATATGACCATTCTCAAAATGCAACTTTTAAGAATAGGATGATCCTGCCCTTGTTACATGTTCAGGACTTCACTTTTATTTCCTACAAAAAGGGGGGGAAAGATCTAATCTGACAATACCATCTACTTTCAATTTAAAAATGTTTACTGGATGAGAAGACTGTTTCCAGAATAGTCAATTCCCTGATGTATTAACATGGCATCTCAATAGGCACACAGAGATCTCCTGGCTTAGCTGCTAGAGACATAACACTCCCATGTTTAAAAGTGATCTTATCCACATAGGTGGTACTGAGGGGGGAAATCTTTTTTTGTTTTTTGGGGTTTTTTTTTGCTTTTTCTTGAGGCAATTGGGGTTAAGTGACTTGCCCAGGGTCACACAGCTAGTAAGTGTTAAATGTTTGAGGCTGGATTTGAACTCAGGTCCTCCCGACTCTAAGGCCATAGCTCTATCCACTGTGCCACCTAGTGCCCGGGAAAATATTTCTACATGGTCCCTTATTACTCCTATTTAAATGGACCATATAATTTGGGTCTTGTCTAATATACCTTGTTCTATATGGCACCACATTGATTAATCACCTTTCTTTGAGAACCATTATCTTCATAAGAATTTCTTCTCTTCCCACAACCTTTTTGCTTATTTTTTTTTAATTGGTGATATAATAGACACCAGTCAATTGATCTACACAGTAATAACTAGTTACAAGCTTTCCAGGTTTTTCTAGTTGCCAATTCAAGTTACTAAGTTTGCACTAGGGCCAGTGTTAACCTATTCTGCACAGTGAAAACCCTGTGGTTTAGATTTTTATTACAAGTTTTTTCGTGTTCTGCTAGCACAGACATTAAGTCTAAAGCACAAGTCCAAGTTTCTGAAGGTTCAAAATTCTCCTTACCTTGGAAGAGGGCTCCTGCATTTTGGATCAGTTGTGAAACTGCTCCTGGCTAGAGGTCACCAGGAGAGAACAAAGGAAGCAGAGAAAGGAAAAGAAGGCAGATCCCACTTATCTGGAGAAACAAAGGACAGTTAATTTACCAACAATAACTACAGTTTTATAGAACTACACAGTTTGCAAAACACAATATCATTTTCTCATGGAAGCCTCACAACTATCACCTGCAGGAGATACAACAGGCATTATTAACCCCAATTTCCATATAAATTAACTGAGACCTAGGAAGGCTATAAGCACAACAAAGTGAAAAGAGTTTACCAAGAGGCCTAAGATCATGGATCATATAATTTAGAGCTGGAAGTGGGAGGATATGAACCCATATCTTCCTGACTCTTAGGTCTAATATCCTGTCCCCTAAACAAGAAGATTTGGTGTTCTTAATTTGGTGCATGTGAACTTTTTTTAAAAAAACTAATTTGATAAATGTATTTCGATATAATCTCCCATTTTGTAATCTTATGCATTTCATGCATTTAAAAATATTATTCTGAGAAGGGGTCCATAGGCTTCACTTGACTGCCAAAGGGGTTCAGGACATAAAAACCTCTCCCCTGTATACTTTGTCCCACCAAGGTACTGCCCCTCTCAATTTATGCTGGATCTCTCAATTTCGCAAAGGGAAATAACACATGCTACATTGTTCTGGAAGCATTTTTTTCTCTAGGAGAGCTTGGTGTAAGAAGCTGACTGACAGCAACAGAACCAATGACAACTTGGCCAGAAATGAACAGGTTTTAAGTTAAGTATCAATTGTATAAGCCCAAGATAGGCTCTGACCTTTCTGAATGCAGACAGATCCTTACTGCAGCTGTTGATGAAGAACGTGCTTTGCAGAGGTGAGGGGGTTTCATTGCAGTCTTGACTTAAAATTTACATGCCCTCTGATAATAAAGTGGAAATAGGATGTGGCTCCTATTTGCCTCTCACTCCACACCTCCTATCTCTGACTGTGGGCTGTGTTTTGTATTTTATGCGCTGTTTTTTTTTCAAGTCTCCTATCAAGGCTTAGATGTTTTGATTTTAGTAATGTCTAGAAGGAATGGGAAAACCAAAGAGAAGGATGCATACAGTTGTCCTGAGAAGCCAGTACATATTCGGAGTTCTTCCTAAGACCTAAGGAAGCAGTGGGGGAAAGAGAGGTGGGAAGGACTCAGACACACCACCATTATCATAATTGAGACATAGAATTTGTTTCGAAAATCTGGATTCTAATCCTTGATCTGATACTTGCTTTGTGATTTTGGGTAAATTACTTCTCTTTGCTGGGCCTTAAATTCCTCAGCTATATGAAAGAGGGTGTAGAAGATGATTATCTCAGGTCCCATCCAGCTCTATGATCAATGACTGTAAGATTCTTGCTTAACTTTTTTCTGTTTGTTACACACATGCCAAAGATATTAAAACACCTAATAAATACATGCTCCCCGATTTTAAGTTTTTAACTATCTCCCACCCAAAATTACTGACTACTCCTCAGCCAGATCCCTAAGGGAATACAAACCAATACAAAAAACGAAACAAACTAAATCCCTACTCTATTTTTATACTATATACTAGTTCTTAAATCTGGATTTCTGTGCAGACTTAAATGGTTAGCCTTTTTTTTTTTTGGTTAGGCAATGGGATTAAGTGACTTGCCCAGGGTCATAAAGCTAGTAAATGTTATGTGTCTGAGGCCAGATTTGAACTCAGGTCCTCCTGAATCCAGGGCCCGTGCTGTATCCACTGCACTACCTAGCTGCCCCTGTGATTAGCCTTTTTAACCAATGACTATTGGTGACTCAACTTTGGGAATGAATGAATATGGCACTTTAAATATATAGCTTGTTTTCAACCCCTAGGACAAGGGCTCTTTATTCAGGATCTAAGAACTTGGTTTTTAAAAAATATATATGAGGGGCAGCTAGGTGGAGCTTTGGCCTTGGAGTCAGGAGGACCTGAGTTCAAATCTAGCCTCAGACACTTGACACTTACTGTGACCCTGGGCAAGTCACTTAACTCCAATTTCTTCAACAAAAAGCAAATATAATGTGTATATATGTATATATATATATATATATATATATATATATATATATATTATATATATATACATATATATATATATATACATATATATATACATATATATATATACACACACACACACACACACACACACACATCTATATTTGTGCATGTAACTATATTTCAATATAATTGGTTTCCTTTGTAATCCATGTATTTTATTTTATGCATTTAATAGCTAACATTTATATTTATATCAAAAAAGTATTCTCAGAAGGGGTAAATAGGCTTCACCAGATTGTCAAAGGGACCCCTGACACACAAGAAGGTTAAGAACTCTTGTCCTAGGATTTCCTTCCTAGGTAACAATAACTCTTATTTTCAAAGTAGTAGTCATGGTCAGAATAAAGTGAATTTTAGTCCCTGGGCTTGTTTCTAGGGTCTCTATTTTTGTTGCTGGTTTGCAACCTACAATCAAAAGAACAGCTTCAATACAACACAGTAAAGGGAAGCAGCAGCAGCATGGACTATTCCAAATTGCACAGACTACTCTCTCTCTCTCTCTCTCCATATATATATATAATTTAACTTTGGAATATATTATATGATTCTCTTTGCAGCATATTTGCCTTCCTAATTATTTTGATTAAGCAAATGTCAAAGTCATTTTATGCTTTGATAGTATATGAGCTCAAAAATGTGTGCAGAGGAAAATTAGAATCAGATTAAAATTTTACTGCAAATAATCCTATACTGCTAATCCACAAATGTGATAATTCACTGAAGGATCATGGAGAATGTAATGTATATCAGCTAAATATGGAACAAAGGATCATGCCAATGGTACCAAAGAATCATTAGCAAATTAATGTATTAAACTTTTTATCACTTTGTTATAAAAGAGAATCAATAAGCACAAAAGAGGAGATATTAAAAATGAGATTGGAAATTTAAAAAGATAAAAACTATAGAAACAGTAATGATGCCTAAGATATAAACTCAGAAGGGATTAACTCAACCTAGAAGTATAGCTTCAGAGAAAAAAAAAAGCTTATTCACAAGGTACTTTGCAGAAGTGATGCTTGATATAAAGGGAGAACATTCATTCAAGCAAACAATGTGGAGAGGTGTCAACAAAAAGTAGAAAAAAGAATTTGCTTATTCTTTTGTGTTTTGGGAATAATATAATCAATAATCATTAGGCTAAAAAATTTAAGTTAAGTAGGTCTTGGGTCCAAAAAGTTTGACCCTCAAGGATGAAACAGTAATAACCTTCAATTATAATGCCACGTAGAGTTTAAATACATATGCAAAAAATCATAATTCAGGTTTTCAAGGTTATGATTATCTTTAGAACAAGCTGGTACAAAAAACAAAGTTTCCACATGACTTTGCAAAGTCAGATAAGATAATGGAAGAAATTTTAAAACCCGACACTCTTGTTGGTTACCCTGGGGGAAAAAAACTTACTTAAATATCATGATAGGAGAATTGAAGGTCCTCTTTCCTTTTACTTATAATCAGGGTTCATATTATTCCAGTGGTGGTAGATATTTTGACCCATATTAGATGAAAACATCAGGCTATGCCTAGTATATATGTTATAAGTTGTCTCTATAATTTTCATTGGTGTTTCATACAAATATATTGTTTTTACTATTTGTCACAATTTTGGATGGTGAAATAAAATTTTATGTGGAACACTGTAATAAGTATGGTATCTTTACTGACCTCAATCAAGCTAAAGATTCCTGGCCTTGCCATCTATCCAGCTTCTTCACTATTAGGACTTTGGGACTTTCCATCCATCCTGAATATAAACTTTCTTTTATGTTTTTTCTCTCTCAAATAAAATCCATGCTCCTTGAGAGCAGGGAATGTCTCATTTTTATTTGTATCTCCAGTTCTTAATACAGGGCTTAGCTCATAATAACTGCTTAATAAATGCTTTTTCATTCATTCATTCAACTCATTCATTCTAATTAAGGAGAGTTAAGAAACCCACAGATACTCTTGGGGACGGAATCTAAGGAACAAAAAGGACATTATGAAGCTTGATCCTCTGAACCAAAATTGGAAATCAAAGACAAAAATTAGGGAATGTCATAGCATGGCTGTTATTATTTGCCTAAGGTATATATTCAGACCTGGTTGTATAAGGGTAGATAAATTCGTGATCTGGCTGGGGTGAAGGTTATAAGGCTATGATGAGAAAACAAGTTACTATTACATTTTGGGGGGCAGCTGGATGGCCTGGAATCAGGAAGATTAATCTTCCTGAATTCAAATCTGGCCTCAGACACTTACTAGCTGTGTGACACGGGCAAGTCACTTAACCTTGTTGGCTTCAGTTTCCTCATCTGTAAAATGAGCTGGAGAAGGAAATGACAAACCACTCTAGTAGTGTTTGTGCCAAGAAACCCCAAAATGGAGTCACAGAGTCAGACAAAACTGAAAAAACTGAACATGAATATTACATTTTGTTTGTGTTTTTGATGTCAGAAAATTCTGCTCTCCATAGCAAATAGGTTCTTCATACAAGACACTCCATGTCTCATCTCTTGTCCTGGCTATTTCCCATGTATTCCTTTCTCACTTCCAACTCTTAGAATCTCATTTCCTCCAAAACTTAGCTCAAAACTTACCACTCTCTATATTGTTTCCTGATCCTCCTGACTATTAGAGCCTCTATAACAGCAGCAGCAGCAGCAGCAGCAGCAAGAAGGCCTTGTGTTTATTTTGTATAAACTTACATATGTACACATTGTTTCCCACTAGGATGTAAACGCCTTGATAGCAGTTACTGGTTCCCTGGAGTCCATATTCCCAGTGCCTAGCAAAGTGCCTGGTATACATAATAAACACTTGCAGGTGGTTGATTTAATGATGCCCTGCAATGGTATTTGCTCCTCCGGAGGCTTAGAGTTTCTATTTAATAGGACTAGTGGGTGGGAGGGAGAGGGGAAGGGGAAGGAAGGGTTACACCTTAACTGGGGCAAAGAAATGTTTGGTCACAGCTAAGCACATAGGACAACAGTAGGCAGT